TTTTTAACTGTCCAACCATAGTGTCAACAGGGTTTCCGTTGGAAACCACCTATCAGCAAAGATCACAAAGTGTGATCTGACATCACAAACTATCCGTTGGTGACCTGCTTGAACTTTCGGCTATCTAATTTATCCATCGAAAATGTTTTCATTAAATTCTTTCCTTTCAATTTGTTTTAAGCAATTAAATATATCCTTTGAAAGTATAATGTGTACTCTTGTGCATTTTTAAACTGTTTCCAACTTTCTGTTTCTCGAGTGAATAACAAAGGAGAGAAAAATTTTCTATGTTATATGGAAATTAACTTTTCGGTGCAAAAAAAAGTACATCAAATTTCTATCCTTCAGATGCTTAGCTTGAGTTACAGATATGTATACAGTCTAAATGAATCGCCACCATCAAAATTACGCTTACATTCCTGTTGATTCTTTTTTATGGACCAGATACCCATTCAGAACCAGCTGACTATTTCATATTATTGTCTTGAATACTATTATTATTAACATCATTCCAATGTACTAACCATTTCGTCTGAAAGTATTGTTCTGGGAATGAATTTGTTAAGAAATTACATGCTGAGTATTCTATACTCTCCTATGTATTGTTTGGAATAAAGTGATTATTATTATATCTCTGAGACAAAAGTTTAATGAAGTGACAAAATATACTATTCAAGTTGTTTAGTAGTAAATTTTGTCAGTTCATAACAGTGTTGTTTGGATTATTTAGTTAAATAATTCAATAATTATTCAAAGAGACAATCTGCATTGTCTTCATTTTTTTTAAAAAATAATTCTAATTTGTTTTCCAACTTCATTTGAATGCATTATATAAACATAAGGGAGGATGGTAAAGAAATGCAACTTTTTGGTAGAATTTTATTTTCTGAGACGAATGATTTACTCATGAAAGTTTCGTTCTTTCTAGATAATATCAGTGCTAAGTTTAGTATGAATAAACAAAAGCATGCTATTTCATCACGAAAAACCATCAAATTACTAGCCGAAAAGTTTAACTAATTCACTTTCTAACGGAGTTCGTACAGTTGATGTCACCAATAAAGAATGTGACAGCTTCATGATTGTACAGTTTAACTCAGTAAAGGCAGTATTATCGATTTCGACTATGAAATTTATAACTATTATCCACCAACTGAAGTATATATTTCGTGAAATATAAATACTACTTAATAGATATCCTTCAGTATGGAGGCACCCTCATAGGAGACCATCTGCCAACAGAGATCGAGCAATTCACACCTATAAAGTAACATGAAGTAACAAGCATCGAACAACAACTGATACTCGTTGAACAAGAGGTGATACTCACCTCTCAGTAACCCAGTGGCTAACACTATGAGGTTTGGAACAATACGTACCGAGTTTCGATCACCGAGAAAGCAACATCACTCAGTGGGGTGGAAGTGTGTCTAGTTCACGAGATCCAACTGAACAAAAAAGCTCACCCTTGATTGCACTACTAGTCATTAAAATAAAAGCTCCTTGGAGACTGTTCATTTGTTAGTTTTTATTCAATTATTAGGTCAATTTATTCCACATTTTTTGGTGAATCAAACTGTTTTCATCAAGAATGTTATCTCACAACGTACTCCTTATGACTTTACGAGAGTTTCTACGTTGAGGTAATTTTCACATCCTTTTTTCAATAACTATTAGCATTAATAAGTATGCCCTGAAACGAACAAATTTACTCATTTTCTTCTTCATGTTGTCGACTATCACCGCGCATCGCAACAATTGATTCTTTTTCGATAAACATTATATTGATTTCTTTAAATATTAAGTTTCGTTTATTTGGATGTTTTCTGTTTTTCAGTGATTCTGCTAGCATATGATATTTCCCACACTTGTACAACATGATATGTATATTAGCATGAAATTATTATTATTTGTCCCTTGAGTTCCTAGTGGAACATGGGGCTTCACTAACACATCTCCATTCCACTCTCTTCTCTGCAATCTTTCCAACCTGGCTGCACCACAGCCAATAAGCTCTCATCTCTTCCTCGCACCATCTCATCCATGTCAACCTCACCTTAAACGCCCAACTCGTCGCTTCCCATCTGGGTTCCACTCGATATCCTGGCCTGGTGCATGATGTCCCCGAATGGTCTTCTCAGTGTATGCCCAATCCATCTCCACTTTCTTCACCTGCATATTTGTTGAGTGATAGCTTCTTGCTTCGTTGGTTCGTTGTCAGCCAGTCAGAGTTCCTTGTTGCTTATTCTTTCTCACCATCTCATCTGGTGTTCAGTAACGAGCCGGTGTAGGTAGTTGTTGATGAATATCTGTGGTTTGTTGGAAATGCTTTTCGTAACACGCCAAGTCTCTGAACCATCACATGGGAGCACTGACATGACTGAATTGGTGTTGAAAATCCGGATGTTGTTCATCCTTTGTGCTGAGTGTAGTGCAGTAGATCTGCACACTGGTTTCGGGTTAACGAACCCCTGTCTTGCTGTCTTTCCGATCCTGGCCGGCTTTGGCGTCCTCATGTGTGCCACTGCCTGTAGTTGAAACAGTGCTGCCTGCCTAGATAGGTGGAGGAGGCTACTTCCTTTAAGTTTCTCCCGTTGATGGTGATTGGAGCCTGTTGTTATTGTTGATGGTGTTGGTTGGGTATCTTCATCACCTCTGTCTTCTCTACGTTCACCTGAAGTCAGTCCCGTCTTCACTGCCTCTTCTGTCAACTTGTTAGTTTTCGCCTGTTGATCTTCAAGTTCGTGCCACATCAGACACAAGTCATCACTGGCGAAATCTAAGTCTTCTAGGTTCTTTTCCTCGGTCTAGCGTATACTTTAGCATGTAATACACAAAGATAAAAAAGTAGAAATGTTACATTCAGATAGCGTATTATTCAACTAGTTTATCGGAAAAGAAATGTTATATATTCGTTAATATTCTCTAGACTTAATAATAGAAATCTATGAAATAAAATATATTTAATTATTTACAGTATAATAGTATTGTCCCTTTTTAATTCATCATAACCTTTTTTGTCTGACTGAATTGTGTTTTAGTAAATGATAGTTTGAACTTTATACCTAGTATGGATAACATTAGTGTTTCGAAAGTTTTCTCATATTATTGTCGTTAGAATTCATTTTACTGTATAAAACATGAAATAAATTAAACTTGTATATAATTATAGATAACTTTTGACTATCATTTTCTTAGAGTATTGTGTAAAGAATTTGAATGAATTCTATAGGATTGATAATTTTTTGTTGTTTGTTATACACTTAACACTGTAGCGAACAATATCATCAGAGGATGGTGTGTGTATAAACAACAATCCATAAAATGTATTAAATGTACAACAGATAATAGTTATGTCAAAACTTTATGATAGACTTGGTTTCTTTTATTTCACATCAAGTAATAAACTAATAAGAAACTGTGTGAGTTCAAGACAAAGAACAATGAAATAATTCTGAGTGAGGAAGCACTCCATAGGAAACACATTTTAACTGTTTTCCTTTCTTATGCATTACTTTTTAAAGTTAGGAAATAGAAAATCACAAAATAATCATATTCGTTTTCAATTTTAAACTTCACTAGTAGTTTTCTTGTAAACATAATTCACTATTGTTATACTAATGACTAGCCTTAAGAACACTGGGTTGATGATAGTAAAGATTAACGGCCTTACTTGTAGGAATTTCAAACAAATAATTCAAATAGTTATCAGCTGATCAATTGGCAGTCTTCTAGTTTGATCATTCGAATAAAAAATATAATGAATCGGCGATTCAAAAATCTTTTACAGTAAATATTCAATAGGTAAACCAACTAGCTCAGAGAACGTAACACAACCAAAATCATCCACTTTACCCATATATACTCTCCATTATATAAATAGGCATTTGTATTTAGAAATGCATTTGTTTCCTCAGTTTGGACTAGGTTCATATGGATAATCAAACTTGAGTGTAGGGATGATTTAAGGGATAAAATAAAAGTGAGTTCAGCCGTATGTGTGTTTTAAGGCTTAAACATCATCTATTGTACAGAGGATAGCAGTACTCCATTCATGACCATCCATCCTTTTAAAGCAAAAGAAACAGCGTAAACTTACTCGATTCAGTGAACTTCATTAATACCTGCAAGTTACATCAAGTGTACATATGATTATCAGTCAGTAATAAATAAGAATGATACAAATTAAGTATAACACAATTGTAAGGTCTTATAGTAATTTCCTTTAGAAATCAAAATTTACAGACTAGAATATATCCTCTTCTGAAAATTAAGCTGTCTCATGAAAGGAAGTAGAAAAATTGATTGATATATACAGTTTTGGATTACTCTAACCAATCAGTTGTATTGTTTGGTGGTTTTTGATCAAAACGATCTGATTACTGGAAAGCCATTTCACTCGTTTTTGGCTGAACTCATGAATATTATATTCAAAGTGATTTGATTAGTCGAAGTAATTTATGATTAATAATATTAATAAGTAGTATGTAGTGTGAAGCTCTTCTATTGCCAAATTTTTGAAATTTAGTTAATTACTTGAAGCATATAGTTTCTAAAGCGTATGCAGCTGTTCTTCTCTGATAAAATGTGATGATGACTTATATACCCTTCATCTGTCGACTATCTGTTGACTATCTTATTGATTGTGATTTCAGAAAATAAATTCCCACCGGCTTCACTATAAGGAAGAAAAGTTACGAAAGCGCTAAATGGCAAGTTTATTAGCCTTTCCTCTTTAGGGATAACCAGGTTATAATCATCTCATTCTACTATGAATTGTTAGGAACTACTGCGGTTTTCGTTAGAAATAGTTTACTGTTTCAAAATTACTTTTTCCTTTTCGTACTACTACTACTACGACGACGACGACGTTTCTTAATAAGTCAGCTGTGATATACTTGCATTTTTTGATGGAAGCATGTTAAGTTTATACAGTTGTTCATACTTGCATTATTTTAATCTGATATTCATTGAGGCAATCATTTCTGCTTTATATTCAGTTCAGATTATGGATCTCCAAGAAGTACGGATGCCACATCTAAGCCTATTGTTGTCATAAGGGAATTCGAACCAAATTATAATCAATCAGAATCAAGTTCACCTAAAACAACTGCAGAAAAGTGTATATTCACAACGAATGTAACACTACCAACAACCACTGTGACTAGTTTTGTGAACAGTAACTCACCTACGACTAGTTCAACTATCCTTTCTTCTTCAACTGCAAATACTATCATAACATATAAAAGTGATAAACAGGTAATCAGGTTTGTATTAATAAGTTAATTTTTGCAACGGTTTTCACTGTTTATTGTTGTGATAACAGTAGTATCATATATTTGGCCTTATTTTAATCTTTTGAGAATGACATTTACAGGTGATCCATATTGTTTCATAAAGCCCAATGGAGATTTAAGTGAGCAAACTCTCATGTAAAGTAAAGATTATTAAACGCTTTGAACACTCTATCATTTAATTACGAAGGGAAATATGGTGAACCATAAATACTTGTTCATCGCTTTGAACCGTTTTAGCTGATGTTTCAAGATTCTGTTGATCACTTCAAAGGCTTCATAAATTGTCAAACAAAATATCAGTGAACCGTATGAAAGAAACTTTATTCTTGTGGCATGGACTACTTACAAAAGTTAAGTACACTAAAAGATTTAGTAAAAATAATAAGCACTGACTAAAGTTGTACGATTACAAAGATGAACGAGTTTCGTTACATAAATCTTAGATTTGTCTGCTAGACGAGATATCTATATTAGAGAATATCACAAGTCCATTTTCAAATTGGAGACGCAGTATCAGCCTCCACTTAGTCCACACTGAGAACTCAGTTAAGACAGTACAGGGATTTTAATTGCATTTATGAACCCTATAGTTCTATCACCTATAGTTCGTGAAATTATACCAAGTAACTAATCAATAATGCGGAAAGTGACCATTTAAACACATACCATCGAGAGTTGATTTCGAGATTTATGAAAGTATAACCACATAGTTCTAGAAGGGTAGCTTTTCTTAATTGCATGTTTTGTGTGTTTAGGTATCTATTTATTGTATCTATAAAACAATGATGTACTGGATCCTATCGCTGATTACTTCCACCATTGCATTCTTTATGTATATGCATGCGTTATCAAACCAATCTGAAGTTTCTACGTCCTAAATACTAATTTATGACTTTGATATTTCGACTTTCAAATTCCTGTGACAAATTTTATTCCATAGGTAACTTAGTTTTAAAAAAGTTTGTTTTCTAGGTAACAATATGGTTCTGAGCACATCATATTACTCGAGATAATGCCTACCTAATACTTTGTTCACTCCACTCATTTTTAAACTAGCGCACTGACTTCTAATAGTTGAAAAATAGTTAGTTTCATCATATGCATTTGCACTCAAAGAAACCATTGGTAACTGTTATTATTATTATTATTATGGCACTGATGATTAAAGGTATTTCTAATCCTATAAAGGTGTTCTACTACAGTGAGTCAGTGAATAACCCAATTTATCTCATTTAATTTTAAAAACAAAGATATTACTAGTGTTAAATAAGGAAAGGTTTTAAATCGATTGAAACAAGTAAGATGAAGGCGTTAGATTTTCCTCATGATAAAAGCAAAAAAATAGCTAAAATGCATCTCTTTCTCATACCAGAAAAACTGATAGTGTAGCTTACCGATGATTACTACTTTTAAAGCCACGTTCTCGATTTCTGATGAACCTAAAACTGAATAAGCAATATGTGATGAGATGTAAATTTTGTCTTCCATGCAGTCCTCTCAACCTGGCTCCACCACTGCCCATAACTTCTCATTTCTTCCACACATCATCTTCTCCATGTCACCCTCGCCTCGGACGCCCATCTCATCGTTTCCCATTTGGGTTCCACTCGACGGTCTGGCATAACTCGTCATGTCCCCAAATCGTCTTCTCAGTATATGTTCAGTCCGATCCAATCCGATCCGATCCATCTGCACTCTCTTCCTCTGCATGTTTGTTAGGCGATAGGTTGTTGGTTGGTTGGTTGTCAGCCAGCCAGCCAGCCAACCAGCCAGCCAGGGTTCCTCCTTACCCATTCTTATTATTCTGCTCATCTAATCTTCAGTATGGAGTGAGTGTAGGTGGCAGCTGTTCATGTATGATGTGTGTAGTTTGTTGGAAATGCTTTCCGTGATGCGCCGAGTCTCTCAACCAGCACATAGAAGCACTGACTTGACTGGCATCAGTGTTGGAAATCCGGATGTTGTTCACGCTTTACGTTGAATGCAGTGCAGTAGATCTCTACACTGATTTCAGGGTAATGAAGAAAGTCCTGTTTTACTGTGTTTTTGATCCTGGCTGGCTTTGACATTTGCATGTGTGTCGCCTGTAATTGAGACGATGCTGTCTAGGTAGGTGAGAAATAGAAAATTCCCATGAAATATACATTCAGACTTCAAATATATATAAACATATGTGATTTGTTGATTAGCAAAGACTGATCAGTTGAAGTTGATTTATTTCAGAATTTATGGTTCAGTGTAACGGAAATAAATGAAATGTAATGCATGGGTTATGATTATGAAACTCAATTTACTAGGTATAAAATAGAACACTATGTATGGAATTTCAGTATGTATAGGAACATGCTGTAATTGACGCTGACTGACTAAATGTGTATGGCGTAGCAAAAGACAGGAACTGTCCGCTGAGTTTATTTCAGTTAGTTAATAGCAAGCTTAGTGACACACAACTGAGGAATAACTAACTCAACAATTAGTATCTCAAAATGTATACTTCTTGTACAGACTAAGTGAGTTCACTTTAACAATGCATATCGTCTATCATAAAGATTATACTCGATCTTAATTTAAAGTTGTTTTACCTTTTTTGTATGAAAAAGTTACAAGATTGGCACTACCATTATTTAACTTGATATTCACATCAATCAACACGTTTGTAGTGATTAAAAAGTTAATAATTAGTTAACACAAAGGATTTCTCTCTTCATTTAAAGTAATTTGAGAAACATTTTAGGAATTTAATTCTGCACATCTTAAGTAAGAATTATCGATATTAAAGGGTTAGTGAAGATTTCTGGCTAGAATAAAAGCAAAGTAAGGAGAAACATGATGATGTCTTCGTTGTATTGTGTTCTCTTATCTGGGTTGTTTAGTCGTGGAGCTTTCATCATCCTGATAGACGATATCATCCACAGCACCAACTTCAGTATGAAGCAAGCTGTCAGTATCTCTCCATGACCGATTTAGTAGCTTGCCTTGACGAAATGGTTTGTGATTTCTTGCTTCCTTTGATTGTTGTGTCATTGACTGTATAGATTTTCCTGTTGACTGTCCGTCTGCTTAACCTCTGACCTATCTGTCGTTTATCATTTTTCTCATTGGTTAATAGATTGGATCTATATATCCATGCATCTATTGATTGCTGACTGACATGAATCCTAAGCTTCTAAAAATTCTCTGATATTCTATGTCACAAACCACTTGGTCAAGGCAAGCTACTAAATCATTCGCAGACAGATATTGACAGGTCACTTTATACTGAAGTTAGTGCTGTGGATGATGCCGTCTAAAAAGATGATGAAAAATTCTCGATTAAACAACCCATCTCAGAGAACACAATACAATCAAGAGCATTCACCTGAGGTACAAATATTCTGCACTATTTCAAAACTTGATGATGTCAGAACCGAAAATAGCATATTGATTTATAGACTTGTAAGCTGTTTGGCTGTTCTATATAATGCAGACGCAGACTTATATATTAGCTGAACGCCATCACAATTCAGTGTCTTCGAAGTTTTGTTGGGAGCAGTTTAGTCATTTTGAATCGTTTCAGTTTATTTTTCCATTTTATCTAATCAATTGAAATTAAGACTTTTATGTTGAAATAATTTTCTCCATATTGTTTACCTATGTTTACAGTGTTCTGAGAATAGTATTCGTTTAATTCAACCAAATGTATATCAAAGACAATTTGATTCATCAGTATCAGAATCATATGATTCTTCTTCGTGTACATGTGATTCATCATCGTATACTAATTCATCAGCTACTTCAACAATGAATTCATCTGCAAGTATTTCTAGTAAAACAACGAATTCTAGTATTTCAGATCCTTTGATTATTATTCCAAATTATCCATCATCTTCATTGAATGTTGATCATAAAAGTAATCAAAGTAGTACAGATGTCTTTCTTTTATCTCCCAGACCTTTCATAAAAAATAATAATTTCAATCAATATTCAAGTAATTATTTTGCTCCATCAGTATCTACTACGACAACCACCACCACCACAACAACAACAACAACAAGTTCTACTAACACTACAACAAAAAACAATAACAGTAATAATTATGGTACTATTATACGCTCTGTTCTCGGTTATAATGGCAATCATAAAGTTAATAATAGTACTAATGGTAAGAATAATCAAACAAATCGAACAAGTGGACATCATATATCAATTATAACATCATCAATACGAGATGATCATAGTATTTTGAAGAAATCCAGTGATTCAATTATTATTGCTTCACCATCTTCTCAAAGAAATAATAATTTACCAAAAATTCAGTTTACTTCTAATTCATATCCACCACATCATGTTCATTATGATATTGATAATAATAACATTATTAGACAAGAGGTTGATGAAGATGAAATAACAATTAATAATGATAATATTTTGCATGTATACAATAATAAATTAAATAATACTACAGTTATTGTCACTGCTTCACCGTATAATAACACTAGTAATATAGATAAAACGACAAAACTATATGACAGCAGTATTAGTAGTAATAATGGTAGTAGTGCTAGCAGTTATACTGATATCTTTCATTGTGATTTACGTGAACAAACTAACAACTACTTACAGATCAATAATGATGATGATTTCAGTACTAAAATTTCTAATAATTTCAAAAATAATTTTGAAAATAAAATATATGAACAGAAGAATACTTCTACTGATATTCGAGGAGATTATCATCAAGACAGTGATGTATCGATTAGTGATGTCATACCTTATTCACCGTCAGTTAAAACACTGAAGCGTTTCATCTTGTCAAGAAGTCCAGCATCAAGTCCATCGATTACTACACCAGCTATTACCTCACCTTTATCTATGATTAATTATAGTATGAATGAAAAAATTACCTCTCCTAAACTTATTCATCCAACAAATTCAAGTTTATCTAGAAGTCGTTTTAGTAGAATCAGTTTATTGACTAATAATCATAAAATAAAACAGCAAGATCATGATTTTTTAACATCATTCTGTTTGCCAACTATGTCACCTACGGATGAAGTATGTCGATCTACGACATCATCTTTGCCCTATAGTCAATTAGCAACAAATTTTTCTAGACAAAATGAAACACAACAAATACAACAGATTACACCTTTTTCAAGTTATCAGCAACAGCAAAGAACAACACCTAGTAGTAGTTATTTCATACAAGATAATTCAACCTCAAAAGTCAGACAGATTTCAATTGATGAAGATGATGGAGGTACGGGTATGTTATTCAATGGATCTACCTCTTCATTCTACTTTGAAAAGTTATGCATATCTCAGAAGTTCAGTGTTTGTTTGATAAAGTTTAATGTAGAAGAACATCGATTCAGTACATTAACAACTTACCATACACATTTAAGTTTTATCCAAACTATTAAAAATATGTGATCATTTATGTACTTAATATAATCTTCCAGGAGACTTAACTGTGTACTGAAAACTTTAGTACCGAAATCAGTAACAACAAGCTGCCTAGAGAAAGTACTAGTAACAAGTTATATGATATTTTTCATCTGGACTCATTATATAATATCTTGAATAATTAACTGAAAATGACTTATTTGTCTGCAACCACTTAAAAATTAACAACACTTTATATTTTCACTAGTGACATAACTCACGGTTCATATTAGTGAGCTTTTGGATATATGAACTTTGAACACATAATATCAATTATGCAGCACTACAACTCTTAAGAGTTAACATAGAATTCATCAAAATAAAATAAATCTAGGCAAAATGATGACCATTTCAATAATACAACATTAGGGTTAGCGTATCTATGTGCTTCGAAAACTTGTACTCTATTGACTTTAGAAAGCCTATTCATCACAATTTATTTAGAGTCAAAATACAAAAATTATCACGATACTAATTTTATCATCCACAATCAGTGACTACATAATTCTTTGTTTTAAACAGTTTTAGAATTTGTTAGTGGAATGACCAAGTAGTACTCCAATAGGGATTTCTCCTAACGGTTGAGTTATGAATTAAGAACTATGTTTATACACAAACAAGACTGCAGCATACAGCAGTTGGTACCTGTCATTGGAATACTGTCACCATACTACTGAAACAGACAGAAGACAGGACTAGGAAGGTAAGCTGTTTCGCAGAAAATAATGGAAAATACAACTAGTCTCACGACTGCGACTCAGAACCGATCGCCTCAAACATCAGAGAGCTGTACACTACACCACCGAGCCACGATAGCCACTTCTAGTGCGACGGGTATATTATTACGATTATTTTCCCCTTTGGATCCTAGTAGAACACACGGCTTCAGTAGCACGTCTCCATTTCACTCTCTTCTCTCCAGTCTTCTCTTTTAACCTGGCTCCACCACTGCCCATAACTTCTCATTTCTTCCACACATCATCTTCTCCATGTCACCCTCGCCTCGGACACCCATCTCGTTGTTTCCCATTTGGGTTCCACTCGACGGTCTGGCATAACTCGTCATGTCCCCAAATCGTCTTCTCAGTATATGTTCAGTCCGATCCAATCCGATCCGATCCATCTGCACTCTCTTCCTCTGCATGTTTGTTAGGCGATAGGTTGTTGGTTGGTTGGTTGTCAGCCAGCCAGCCAGCCAACCAGCCAGCCAGGGTTCCTCCTTACCCATTCTTATTATTCTGCTCATCTAATCTTCAGTATGGAGTGAGTGTAGGTGGCAGCTGTTCATGTATGATGTGTGTAGTTTGTTGGAAATGCTTTCCGTGATGCGCCGAGTCTCTCAACCAGCACATAGAAGCACTGACTTGACTGGCATCAGTGTTGGAAATCCGGATGTTGTTCACGCTTTACGTTGAATGCAGTGCAGTAGATCTCTACACTGATTTCAGGGTAATGAAGAAAGTCCTGTTTTACTGTGTTTTTGATCCTGGCTGGCTTTGACATTTGCATGTGTGTCGCCTGTAATTGAGACCACGCTGCCTTGGTAGGTAGGTAGGTAGGTGAGAGGGTCAACTTTCTTTAGACTTCTCCCGTTGATGGTGACTGATGCTTGTTGTTGCTGGCTGGGTATGATCATCACCTCCATCTTCTCTACGTTCACCTGAAGGAAGTCCCGTCTTCCTTCACTGCTCTGCCTCTTCTGTCAAAGTTTTCGTTTTCCCCTGTAGATCTTCGAGTTTGTGCGCCATTAGTCATAAATCATCATCGATGAAATCTAAATCTTCTAGAGTCACTGTCTTTTCATCGGTTGAACAGCGTATATCCCTCTACTTGCTCGTTCGTTGCATAATCTAGTCGACCACAATCAGGAAGATGATCGGCGATAGCAGACAACCTTGCCTCACTCCTGCCTTCACTTCCAAGGCGTCACTGAGCTTTACACTGTGAATCAATTGGCATGTGGCGTCGGTATATAGTTGTTGAATGTGGTTGATAAAGGTATATGGCACTAAAACCATTGTGTTGAGGCAGTTTTCTGCCAAATTACTTCTCGGTTGACGCTGTCAAGCGCCTTCTCAAAGTCGACGAAGTTGATTTGACTGCCATTCTATGCTGTGTTCTATGATGATGCGTAGCGTAGCGTTGCAATTCGATCCGCACATGACTTGTTCTTCCTGAAGCCAGCCAGCCAGCCTGTCCCGGTCGGAATTTTGAATGCAGAGCTTGTTTTACTCTCTCCAGGATGATTTTGTTTAATATTTCGCTTGATGTTGACAGGAGCATGATTCCGCACCAGTTTTTGCAAAGACTTAGGTCTCCCTTGTTTGGAAGTTTGACAAGGTAGCCCTTCTTCCAATCAACCAGCAGGAACCTTTCCTTCCTTTCTTGAAAAGTTCCTGCAATAGTAGTGTGGTGTGAGCATATTCGCTGATGCCTCTGCGCCTGTTTTCAGCGCTTCTGGTGGAATTCCATCTTGTCCAGCTGCTTTCCTGGATTTCAGCAGTTTTATGACATTCAGGACTTCGGCTTTTGACTACGGGCTTGTGTTTAATGGTAATTCTGCGTTTGCTGGTGGTATTTCTGGATGAATTGCAGGTGGTGGTCGATTCAAGAGTTTGTTGAAGTGGTCAGCCCGTCGTTTCTTTTGTTTCTCTTCTTTGGTAACTTGCTTTCCTTTACTATCTTTCATCGGTCTCATCTACGTTGCTATCTTTCCAGATAGTAACCTGGTTATTCGATACAATGTTGTCAGGTCTCTATCTCTCTTACCTGCAGCCTGTTCTGCTTCGCCTGCCAATGTGTCATTGAAGTGTTTTTTGTCTTTCTGCGCACTCTTCTTCACTTCTTTTTCCAGTGTTTTATACGTTGTATTCAGTTCCGCTTTTCGTTGTTCATCCCTTCAGTGCACTAGCTCATCCTCTGCTTCAGCATCTTCCTCTCCCCATAATCTATCGGCTTCCATGTGTCCGTCGAGATCCATTCCTTGTTTTGTTTTTTCTTCCTTTCTAACACGGTTATGCAGGTTTCCTTCCACATAGCTTTCAAAGAGTCCCAGTGTTCTTCCACGTAACCTTCCTTATAGCTGACCTGAAGATGTCCTTTTTAGTTTCGTCCTTCAGTTTCTGGGTGGGTATTGAACTTGAACTGTGGCCTATTACCAACTTCTTTTAAGGCTTTCAACTTGATTTGGAAGGTTCCTTGCACTAGATAGTGAGTGGTGTGAACCACCAACATCTGCTCCCCTTCTTGATCTTGTGTCCTGTAGACTGCGTCTTCACTTTCCTGAGATTGAGATGTAGTCGATCTGGGTTTTAGTGTGTGCATCTGGTGAAATCGAAGCCACATCGCTTTATGAATATCCTTGTGTTTGTACATACCGCCTCCAATCACCAAATAGTTGAATGCAAACAAGTTTGCAAACGGTTCTCCATTCTCATTCATTTCACCGAGTGTTTCTCAACCCACGATAAGTTCTCTTCCTGTGTTGTTCGCTCCCAGTTTGACATCCATGTCACCGCACTCATTAGAATTTTGATGTCACCATCTGGAGTCCTGTTCAGTGTTGATTGCAGTTGTCTGTAGAGTTCCTCCTTCTTCTCTTCATCTGCATTATTCGTTGACGCGTAGCATTGAATGATTGTGACGTTCCTTCCTTTTGAGTTGAATCTTGCTGTCATGATCCTGGAGGAGATTGGTTCCCACTGCATGAGAGCCTTCGATGCTTGTGGGGACATTATGATAACCTCTCCAAAACTCAATGTGCTCATGGTTATCGTCTGGGTGACAATATCAGAGTAGATAATTGATTCTCCAGTTGACAGTTTGGAAAGTCCACTTCAATCCCATCTACTTTCGCAGATTCCTAACACTTCAATGCGATACCTTCTCATTTTTTCGGCAATCTGGGCAGCCTTGCTGGCTTCAAACAAAGTGCGGACATTCCATGTCCCTACGTTTACTTTCGCTTTCATCGAGAGGAGAGAAGACACATCGGCCAATTGACTTCCCGAAGGCTTTCACCGACTGGCGTCATATCACCTCTCCTATGCCAGCGAGGAATAACTTTGTTTTCATTTTTTATATTTTGTTTGTGCTCTGAAGTTTCTTTAGCAGTTAGACTTGTTTTACGGGGTAGGGTTGCCAGCCCTATGCCCAACCTTCCCTCTTTACCCGGACTTAGAACCGGCTAGTAACTAGTGAACTAGTTAACCAAGCGAGGTTCCTACGGGTATACTTTTAGTATAGCTATTTTTATATCATATCGTCGTTGATTGGACCGAATTGATCGGTCTCTATTGGCATATGAACTCCTGTGCGAATGACTTCATATTATCTGTGTTTTAATTATCGAGGCAATCTGCACAGGAGCGCATATCCCAGTAGAGACCGATCAATTGGGTCCAATCAACGACGGTATAATACAAGCAATGATACTAGGTTATAATAGTTTGATAGAGTGTGGGTAGGACCACATTTAACTACAGTTAGTATTGGAATATAGAACATTTGAGTGACACCATCTTTAAGCAATATTAGAGACATATATTTAGTTCACAGATTTATACAGAGGACATTAACTAATCAGTGGTATTTCTGTACATTCTATCAGTTAGAATGAAATAAGTAGTTTAAAATGTTACTGAATGATTGTTCTAAACACTTCCAATTACTTTTTGAGTTTTTGTAGATATTTTAGAGTTAGAAACAACTGAATAACACGTCAACTGATTAACTGATGTACATTTCATCAACTAGGCAATGTATTGTGTTAACATATAACGTATAATAGAAGTATATGATTTTTATTGTTAATTCGATTGCATTAAACAATCTTGCTTAAGTAAGCGAGATAAGCAACTATTATGCGTTCCTGTCTCATAGCCAGTTTGATCAATCATGGGAATAGTAATGTGAATTTTGTTGGTGTCAATCTGAAGAACATTACGTACTATGTGTATGCTATTCATTTTAATCACAAAAAGATTATTAATGCTTTTAATCTCCCTCTCTATGTTTTCTGTGTAGCATTTTACCTCAAAAGTAAAGTGAAGTTTGTTTCACTCATAATCCTTCTGTTTCATACTTCACTAAGGGAAACAAGATATTTAACTATTTAAACAACATGGATAGTGGCTAGTAGTGGAATCTAGGAGCCCATATCCCAGTGGAGACTGATCAATTTGGTCCATTCAGCGACGGCATAATACAAGCAACAATACTAAAACTATACCCATAGCATGTGAAGTGACTGTCGTGGTTTGGTGGTCTACTGGATAACGTTCTGCCATTGGAACGATCGGTTTCGAGTCCGAATCCCGGCGGAAACAACAGTCACTGGGAGACAGGTACATCCAGCTGACGAGTCTCAAATAGAACGAAATGCGCATCCTGTATTCCACTGTTAGCCACTATCCGTCATTACTATAGTCCCTATAACCTTTTTATTAAATATCGGTAAGCCTCTTCCTAGTGCAATATTACACTTAACTCCTTAACATGAATCTGATTCTAATCAGTTTACCAGAAGTCAAGGATGACAATGCATGGTCAAACAATGTTTCATCAGCATTTCTGTATGCCAGAAAACAGAAATATGGAACCAAAGCCAGTAAACAGTACACAGCTTGGGAGAATCCTATGATAACATAGCACAATAAGCAAGTTAAGACAGAAAGTATGAGTACATAGGAAAGGAATTCAGGATACAGCTGAACATAAGCTGTAGGTGTATTCAGTCTACTGCATATATATGTGCACGTTTCATTGACTAGTGGCTCCAGAGAAATTCAACTTTTTGTTGAATGCCATCCAAAGACTCTAAACTTCCGCATTCAAATTAAATAAGCTTTCAGGTAACTTGAGGATTTTAAAATGACAGCTTTCTGAGGTTTATATGTAAATCCTAATATGATGTAAAATGTAGAAGTGGGTAATGGATAGAAATAAGAAAACTTTCAGCTTGATTACGTTTGCTCTCTCACCAGTTAATTTAACATTTTCACAGTTTCCTTATAATTTCCACATTCATGGTCCACGTCCACAACCACCGAGGAAAGTTCAGTACCATTCTGAAAGGCATATCTAGACCTGATAAGTACATCAGACAAGCTTACTTTTCATACCGACTATAGTACTTTCCAGTCTCCATATCACCACTGGTCATACAAGTTTATGGGTAAATGAAGAGATCAGTGCTTCCATTAAACAAGAAACACTTAAAAAATGGTCTTAAAGTTGTACTGCAAATCATATATATCCATGATTTCTTTCAAAGATTCTGAATCTTTCAATTTGTTCACTTACAAAGACTAATAAACAAACAGCGGGATCTTTAGAAAAGATACCAGAAATTGAAAATTCATTGAAATCAGATACAACTATACAATGACACTGGTGACTAAAAGTTCAATGCGTAGAAATATATGGCAAACACCTTTCAGGGTAATTAACAGTTCACAACAATTAGTGCTATAGAGTTTACCAGAAGGCAGGAAAATTATTGAGATACACCTTCGTTATAACACTTTAAGTTTGTACTTTTCTCATAAGAAGATACAGAAACAGTTACCAGTGATCATTATGAATGATAACAGATCTGTGTACTATTATTAGCTATGCTATGATTATTTTCTATTTCCCAGTTAACATAGTGAACGGAAAGAAATTGAATGATTGATTATTTGCATTTGTAGTTCTTCTTTCAGCATTTTGATTTCCATAACTGATCTTTGCCACTACTATTTTGCAATGATTATATTACTACTGGACTTTTACCAGAGGAAAGCATTTTCAACATACAAAAATCTTGAAATTATTATCGTTATCCCTTTCTGAAGCATATCACCTAATGACAAAAGTTGATCACTACCAAAACACTCAGTTTATTTGTCTATATAACGTACTTTGACATGTTAGGAAGTTAACAAAAATTAGCATACCGTTAGAGATTGCGCATATATATTTAGACATACATATGTATACATTTTATCAATACTTGTTCCTTGGGTTCATAGTGGAACATGGGGCTTCACTAACACATCTCCATTCCACTCTCTTCTCTGCAATCTTTCCAACCTGGCTGCACCACAGCCAATAAGCTCTCATCTCTTCCTCGCACCATCTCATCCATGTCAACCTCACCTTAAACGCCCAACTCGTCGCTTCCCATCTGGGTTCCACTCGATATCCTGGCCTGGTGCATGATGTCCCCGAATGGTCTTCTCAGTGTATGCCCAATCCATCTCCACTTTCTTCACCTGCATATTTGTTGAGTGATAGCTTCTTGCTTCGTTGGTTCGTTGTCAGCCAGTCAGAGTTCCTTGTTGCTTATTCTTTCTCACCATCTCATCTGGTGTTCAGTAACGAGCCGGTGTAGGTAGTTGTTGATGAATATCTGTGGTTTGTTGGAAATGCTTTTCGTAACACGCCAAGTCTCTGAACCATCACATGAGAGCACTGACATGACTGAATTGGTGTTGAAAATCCGGATGTTGTTCATCCTTTGTGCTGAGTGTAGTGCAGTAGATCTGCACACTGGTTTCGGGTTAACGAACCCCTGTCTTGCTGTCTTTCCGATCCTGGCCGGCTTTGGCGTCCTCATGTGTGCCACTGCCTGTAGTTGAAACAGTGCTGCCTGCCTAGATAGGTGGAGGAGGCTACTTCCTTTAAGTTTCTCCCGTTGATGGTGATTGGAGCCTGTTGTTATTGTTGATGGTGTTGGTTGGGTATCTTCATCACCTCTGTCTTCTCTACGTTCACCTGAAGTCAGTCCCGTCTTCACTGCCTCTTCTGTCAACTTGTTAGTTTTCGCCTGTTGATCTTCAAGTTCGTGCCACATCAGACACAAGTCATCACTGGCGAAATCTAAGTCTTCTGGGTTCCTTTCCTCGGTCCAGCGTATCCCTGTCTTCTCGCTCCCCACTGTTTGTTGCATGATCCAGTCCACCACAATCAGGAATATCATGGGTGATAGTAGACAGCCTTGTTTCACTCCTGTCTCCTGTCTCCACTTCAAAGATATCAATGAGCTTCCCATTGTGAATTACTTGGCATGTGGCGTCTTCATATAGTTGTTGAATGGGATTGATAAAGGTTTGTGGTATTCCGTAGTGTTGAAGCAACTGCGTGCCAGATTACTTGTCTGTCGACGCTGTCCAAGGCCTTTTCGAAGCCGATGAAGTTGAGGTAGAGAGTTGACTGCCATTCTATACTCTATTCTATGATGAAGCGTAGCGTAGGGTTTGAATTTGATCCTAACATGATTTGTACTTCCTGAATCCAGGCAGTCTGTTCCGGTCGTAGTTTTGAATCCAGTGCATGCTTTAGTCTCTCCAGGATGATGCGGTTTAATATTTTGCTTGCTTTGGGTGGACAGGGGCATGATTCCTCGCTAGTTCTTGCAAACACTTATGTCGCCCTTCTTCGGGAGTTTTATATATACATTTTTAAATATATATGCAGTTATTTTTTGACCTCCAATAATTAGTTATTTGTCCCTATGTAAGTCTTTTTCAATATTTTCGCTTACAGGTCACTGGAATTCACTGCTTCATAAAACTGCTCCTGCTCCTTTAATACTTCCTAAACCTGGATTTTGGACACCAGATATCAAAAGTTCCCGTAAAACTCTAAACATGTGTGAAGATGATCCAAGAACTAAAGTTTGCAGATGGTTTGAAAGATATGAAGCTGCACGTCTACTTGTTGACTTCGGATTACCAATTACTGGATTCAGTCCGAATTTATCTTCATTAGCATTTTCACAAGTACCTGATTGGTTTCATGGTTAGTGAATTGTTTGTAATGCAGGTTGATCTGTCACACAACGTTTTCATAACAATATCTGTTCTATACCTAGTTACCATTACAGAGAGTTGTAAAAAAAATACAGCCTTTTTGACGCCTACGACATAGAATAGTATTTAAATATTCATCAGTAATTGTTATTTTGTTTCTTTTCACTTACTGAGGATTATTTTAACCAGAAATTTATACTGTCTATTTGTCTTTGTTCTGTGCAGAATTAAACTGAATACTGCTTTCTGAGATTATGATTTGACTATCTAAGATGACCGTGGTTCGGTAGATGAGTACTTGTACTGGGTGATGATTGAAGGTGAGATGAAAACCTTGACGGCCACGGGACTCGAACCAGCGACCACCGTTTAACACGCCCGGTACTTTACTAACTGAGCTATGAGGTCGGGCTGTCGACCAGAATTTTATTTCACTTCAATCACAAATGGTTTTGCTCAACTACTATGTGAATTCGTTACGCGTTACTACCACTTGATCGTATCCACACTGGCTGCCCAGTCAGGACTTCTCATCCGAATCCAAATCTAACTGAATGAGAGAGGGGAATCATTATATTGATTATGATTTAACTATCTAAGATACTCATAGTTTGACAGACTAGTATTTGTACTGGGTGATGACTGAAGGTGAGATGAAAATCCCGACCACAGCCGGATTCGAACCACTGACCACCAGTTAAACGAACCGGTGCTCTACTAACTGAGCTACGAGGTCTGACTGCTGACCAGAATTTTCTTTCTGAGATTGTTCCTGCCAAATGTTATGATTCTTGAAAGGTATTTGGTTCATTGAACGTAGATTAAAGTGTCATGTCTGTTTAAGTAATTCACTTTTTAAAGCTGATATTATTCAGATTTATATCATGGTGTTTCAATGCTGAAACACTTTTCTGTTTTACATTTTAGTATATTGTACAGTATATGCATTAATTTATTTACAACAAGAGCTAAATATTTAAAAGTGTCTGAAACGTAGACTCAGCAGATAATCATATCCAGTTGCCAGATTAATTGGTTCATTTGAAACGAGAAAAAAGTTTCTTTCACGACGACGCCACTTTCTAATACTCCACAATCATATATATATATATATATATATATATATATATATATATATATATAAAACATAGATATGTAATAGTCTATTATTGAACAGTAGTGTAAATTTGCATCATTAGGCTAGTGTTAGACTGAAATCCAGACTGGGAAGGGCTTGTGTAATAGTATTTTAGACGACGTAAATAATAGGAAAGGGAGGGATTGTGCAAAGGTGAAAATTGTTAGTAGTTGTGAAATGCAATGATTGTGTATCCACTTTATACACATAAAGAATATGAAGAACCAAGCAACCGTCAGAATGATGATGATAATAATAAACTACCTAATTATAATGAAATCAAAGAGGGAAAGGAAAGACATGTATGATATACATACTTCTTCTGCACAAAGAGATCAAGTTTGAATTGGTGAATTACCAGTGCTCTTACTTAACCAAACTGTCAACAGCGTAGTCTTTTTGAACTTATCCCTTTTACTGTATGTAAATTTGTTGCCTTCCATGTCATTTTCATCGCCTAAAAGATTATTATACAACTCTCTTTCAGTCTTGACTTCCATTTTAACACTAGCTTAATAGATTAACTCTATCCTTATTGTTCAATAATAGACTGTTATATTTTTGTAATCAAATAAACGTGACGACAAAGTATTTCAAAATAATATTAACGGACCAAATTGCAAATCTTCGCATCATCATAGAATAGAGTATAGAATGGCAGTCAACTCTCTACCTCAACTTCATCGGCTTCGAAAAGGCCTTGGACAGCGTCGACAGACAAGTAATCTGGCACGCAGTTGCTTCAACACTACGGAATACCACAAACCTTTATCAATCCCATTCAACAACTATATGAAGACGCCACATGCCAAGTAATTCACAATGGGAAGCTCATTGATATCTTTGAAGTGGAGACAGGAGACAGGAGTGAAACAAGGCTGTCTACTATCACCCATGATATTCCTGATTGTGGTGGACTGGATCATGCAACAAACAGTGGGGAGCGAGAAGACAGGGATACGCTGGACCGAGGAAAGGAACCCAGAAGACTTAGATTTCGCCAGTGATGACTTGTGTCTGATGTGGCACGAACTTGAAGATCAACAGGCGAAAACTAACAAGTTGACAGAAGAGGCAGTGAAGACGGGACTGACTTCAGGTGAACGTAGAGAAGACAGAGGTGATGAAGATACCCAACCAACACCATCAACAATAACAACAGGCTCCAATCACCATCAACGGGAGAAACTTAAAGGAAGTAGCCTCCTCCACCTATCTAGGCAGGCAGCACTGTTTCAACTACAGGCAGTGGCACACATGAGGACGCCAAAGCCGGCCAGGATCGGAAAGACAGCAAGACAGGGGTTCGTTAACCCGAAACCAGTGTGCAGATCTACTGCACTACACTCAGCACAAAGGATGAACAACATCCGGATTTTCAACACCAATTCAGTCATGTCAGTGCTCTCATGTGATGGTTCAGAGACTTGGCGTGTTACGAAAAGCATTTCCAACAAACCACAGATATTCATCAACAACTACCTACACCGGCTCGTTACTGAACACCAGATGAGATGGTGAGAAAGAATAAGCAACAAGGAACTCTGACTGGCTGACAACGAACCAACGAAGCAAGAAGCTATCACTCAACAAATATGCAGGTGAAGAAAGTGGAGATGGATTGGGCATACACTGAGAAGACCATTCGGGGACATCATGCACCAGGCCAGGATATCGAGTGGAACCCAGATGGGAAGCGACGAGTTGGGCGTTTAAGGTGAGGTTGACATGGATGAGATGGTGCGAGGAAGAGATGAGAGCTTATTGGCTGTGGTGCAGCCAGGTTGGAAAGATTGCAGAGAAGAGAGTGGAATGGAGATGTGTTAGTGAAGCCCCATGTTCCACTATGAACCCAAGGGATAAGTAATAATAGTAATGAATTCACTCTATCCTTATTACTGAGTAATAGACTGTTATATGTTTGTAATCAAATAAATGTGACTGAAAAGGATTATAAAATGATATAGTCGTAAAAGAAAGTTTTTCCAGCTGAATAATCTCTTTCTTTTTTATATGAGATGGGTATCTTTGGTTATATTGTAACATCATGTATTACCGAGTCACGATATATCTACTAAGGAAAGTCTCTCAGTTGTTCAATCCGTTTGAGTGTAATGGGTTTTTACAGAATTCAGCAAAGTCTATATGGATAAGGTTGACAGTGTTTTGGCTTGTGTATTCTTTACTTCTGTTTGTAAAATCTGATCACTATTTTTCAACACTTGTCGACACTTGATCAGTGTCTTTATCACTTGACCTTATTTAGTGGGATTTATATTATGATCCATCACACGAATCTTATGCATCTTATGACTGTTATTTCTTAAATGATGTTAAAATGCGATTGATTTTTAATAGGTTAGGCTATTCTAGAAATATTCTTCTATGGCCTTGTTCAGTTATGAAGATAGAACTGAGCGGATGGCTGATGTACTACATCGAATAGTTGTGTAGAGATATGCAACCATGTCCCATATCTATTGATCAATATCTACACATGGTTTCAGCGAAGACAAATGTTTTCTTTTCAAAGAAGTCATTTACTAAGGTGTACTTTTATGAATATATGTTACGGTGGGTAGAACGTTCCAGAATTGTTTCCGGTCAATGGGAAAAATATATTGAGTAACTAAAGGAAGTTAACTAAAACACATATATGTTTAGAGTAGGAAAATAGATAGGGGATTATAGAATTAAATGTAATTACATAATGCAGGATGAATGTATGGCAAAGTAGGAAACTGAACGAAGGGTTAACAAGATAAAATTGCAATTGTGTACTACTCAATATATTTTGACCCCTAACAGGGAACAATTATGGAACGTTCTGCCCACCGTAACATATATTCACGAATGTACAGCTTAGTAAATGACTTCGTCGAAAAGAAAACATTTGTCTTTTTTGAAACCATGTCTTATCTTTTCCTATGATCAAAATATACACATCGTGTAACCAACTGATGTTGTATGAATTTGGATAAAGATCACAAGTAAAGCAGAAGTAGATCTTTCCTTTCCTTTTCCAACTTAACAGAAAGTAAATAAAGTTGTAAGAATGAGTTTAGGTTTCTTCAGCTGCATGTTAATTTCTATTGTCTCTCCTTCCACGAAATATTTCCGCTGATTTCCATTGGTTGGAGGTAATCGGCAGGAAGTCCTGGACCTAAGTTTCCTGCTTTTTGCCAATCGTCAGCAAGGCGTATCTGCAACCTCAACAGAACTGATGTCCCGTCTAAGATTCGAACCTGCGTCACCCATTGTTATAGTCAGCGACCTTACCACTGAGCTGTTTGGGTGTCATTGCAAATATGATCGATAAGATTCGATCTGCATTCACGACTGGACAACATGAAATTGATTTCCATGTTATGAGACTTGGCACTTGTCTCAGATATTGTCAATTGGTATTTTATATATATTTATAGTAATCGATGTTCAGTTTCGAATGTTAAATTCAAACACTCTATAAATCATCTTTAGTAAAATATGGCTAGATTTTAATAAAACTCTATTGTTGATAATATTTTATGCTAATCATATCATGTATTTTCTTTTTATTCTTCAGGAATACTTTCTAGAGAACAAGCTGAACGTTTATTAACTAGAGCAGATAGAAATGGTAGCTTTCTGTTACACTTGAGTGAATCATTTCCAGGCTATGTGATCAGTTTATTTACTTCATCGTATTGTGATCATTTCTTAATATCCGTTATAGCAGTTCATCAAATGAATACTGATATACAACAATCTAATCGTAGTTTAACTAAAAGTACTTATCAATTATTTGGAGTTGCCAATCCAGAACAATTTACTGATTTAAGAGATCTAGTGAAATATTATTCTGTGAGTACAAATTTATATTTTTATTATATTACTTCAACAAAATTTATTTTATTTTTTATCGATATAAAATTATATCTAATTCATTATATTGTTTATTATTCATATCTTGATTAATTTTGATAACTTTTATTGTTACTGCAAAGAATTGCATATAATGATTATTGTATATACATGGCGAAGTTTTTCAGAATGTCAAATTCTGTCTGAATAGAACGGTAGTGAGACAGATTAACCAGTATTTTAAGTAATATTTATATTTTCAAAGATATATATGTATCCCACTGATATGTGATAAAATAAAGAGTTTTGATCCAATCTATGACTCAGTTACAAACTCCAGACTGAATTAGTCATCATTATGCATTTTATTTCTAATTGCCTAGTTGATCGTTCCGCTAACTGAGCAGGAAACACTCGAGCAACGCTTCAATATGAAAACGAACACTCCTGTCTGTTCTCCTCAGAAATTGATCAGTGTAAATACAGAACCCTGCCAACTGTTAGGAGTTGACATATCCATATTCGTAGGATAATCAGATCATTGACTGTACTCACCTGTCAACGAACAAAGATGTATAGGATGGGTCTCATTGAGTCTTCACAGTTTCGCAGATCGGATGCAGCTCACCTTCATAAGAAACAATCTCTTTCTTACTCTATTAATTTAAATTAAGAGGTTTTCCTGGGATGGTGTTATACAGCCAAGGCTAGGGCTAATAGCACCCACATTCAGAGGTGAATATCACTCACCTTCACAAGTTTAACTGCACCTTACCCTTACAATTGCTCTAGCAACAGTGACTGCCAGAATCACAAAGCTGAATTCCCTTACCTTTTGATTACGTTGCTCACATGGCATTGGACGGAATTATAACAGCTAGCTAGACTATCGTTGCTTTGGGGACTCACGCTACTGGTCTTTTTATATCGGATCTCTTTGACCGCGTTTACCGACGAGTGAACTTTGATGATGGATATCAGTCGGCATCACATGGAGGCTCATCGTCTTCAAATAAATAATCTCGACCGGTAATCATTAGTCGACACACCATGTCTGCTTTCTTACGTCAGAAGCACAAACACCAACACCATTTAAATGACATAGCAAGAACTTCTACACATTGATAGATTGGCAAGTAACTACGACGACGGACTAGGCCAACTTAAGAGAGGTATAGTTGCCGACAGCGACAAAAAGCATTCTGTGTCTAATTAATCATCAGACAAAATAGTTGGGTATAAATGTATCCCATTTACTTGGAAAGTTTCTTATATATTACAGATTAATCTTTCATTTACAGTAGTACCAACCGAAAAACTAACATGAAATATGTTGAGTGGATGAAATGTTTATTTTTGTACGGAAACCACTTACTCAATATCAAGGTAGGTCAGTCAATTTGGTGTAGATGCAAGAACAATATACTGATACATTGTAGTAACTGAAGAGGTAATTAAAATTTGAGTAACAATAGAATTCGAATCAGTGGCCTGAAGATTACTGGTCTAACTTTATATCACTAGTATAAGTCTACCAAACCACGTCTGTCTTAGATAGTCCCATGGCTAAAACTTTCTTTATCGATTGCTTACTTATTGACAGTACAGTTACAAGAAGTAGTATATGAAGTTAGTTCAAGAAGCATTTTTCAGTCGGTTATTAAGTAACAACGAGTAAGGTATCCACTGGAAATCCCAAAACAATGAAGATAGTTCGTAACTTAATGTGAATGAGATTGAAATAAAACCAGTAGATTCCAATTTGTATATATTTTCCATACGTATGCTTCAAGTTACCGAGTAAAATTTAGGCTAAATTAGTAGGATGAGAATGGATAAAGTTTATCGTGTATGTTTAGAAGGATGAAATGATAGCAAAGAAACAGCACTGACTTTATCTGAAACTTAGTCATTCAACTTAATTTTGTAATGTGGTTCCAATAGAAGACATATAATGAGTTGTATGAATATCAACTTTATACGACTATAAATAGATTTCAGGAGATGATTCAGAAAAATTATGCATTAATATTTATCACTTTAAGTAACTAGTATAAACATAAAAATATACTTCTGAGCCAATTCATTGTTTTATTGACAGAAGGTGAGAAAAGAAATTACAAATATTGAAATATGATTCGGATACTTTAATGGTTCATAAGGTAAAGCAGCAAACAGCTTTTACTTGAATCTTATTTTAGTGGTCAAAATTTGTTAGGTACGTCCATTGAGAAGATTTCTGCCTACATCGATTTGGATTTATTAGCATGGTAAACAAAACGTCTTAAAAACTTTCATTCTTATTCATACATTTAAAATGCGCACTTTTTACTTGTAGCAAAATGTTTGAATCATCATTGACATTTAGTTGGCTTCAGTTAAGCAGACTAATTGATAGCTGATACATATGTCGACTCTTCAACAATAACCTTGATATTTTCTCAAGAGCATCCATGATTATGTGACTTTTCACAAATATTCTGTATATAGCGATTAACTATGAAGTGTTATGGAAAATTTTCTGCTTTTTTTTTAAAAGTATTCAAGAAGTACTGGTTGAGTTCATAAAACAATTAGTAGATGGAAAGTTTTCATTACTGATATAGTTTTGTTGTCTGATATATTTATACAAGAGTTTGATCAAGTGATCTATCATCTTTCTGTAGTTGTGGTATTTTAGTATAGAAATACTTTTGAGAATATAGATTTCAGCCAGGAATTGAAAATGTTTAAAGTATATTATAATCTGTGAAATAGTAAAATCGTATACTCCTTGAAAAACTCAATGTTGTGAAATAGGGTAGTTGTTTGATTGCAAGATTGATGAATATGTTTCATAGTCAGTAATATAATATGTTTAGATTAAGTGAACTAGTAATTGACAATCTTATTATATGCCTTAAAAATAAAACCTTTCTGATAGTTTTGTAAACTTCAGTATCAAAATTTGACCTGATAGAGTTGAATAAGTTGAGTATTGGGTAATTGGATTATAAATGAAATAGCATTTTGTAAAATCCCAATGAAAGTAGAAAAATTAATTTCTGACGTTTAACGACTTGGTGGAAATCGCTTCTACTTCAGAGAATAAAACCTGTACAAGTTATCGAATAGTTTAAGTAGTAAAAGGTGAGGACAAATCAGATCATATTGTCGTCTATACCTGATAATGATATGAACATGAATGTCATTGTTATGCTGGTCAGGAAGCGTTTACAATTTGTTTTTGTTTATGAGTTTAATTAGTCTGGAGATCAAGGTGATATGAATATGTTTACATGTGACTGGGTGTGAAAAAATAATAAATAATTAGTATGGATGACAAAATTCGGTTTGAAAACATTTGTTTCCCTATAGAAATTTAAAACAAGCAACAAGTGTGAAAAAAAGCAGGATTCAATGAATTCATAAATATCAGTAGTACTCGTCAGCTGGATACTACTTTACATACTTGATTGTATATACCGTTAAGCAATGGTTTGTTTGTATGTATGTACTTTTGACCAGATCATTGTGTGTGTGATGTGCTGTTTTTGTTTTTGGAAATACTGTCCAGGTTGATTGGATAGTTAGGCGTTCCTTTCTGTTGAGTCCATTAGGATTCAACATTATGTGAAATGCCTCTGCTATTCTTCTTTCAGAGGCACATCTGGTCAAAAATACATAGACACGAACAAACTGAATTTTGTCATGGATACTATTTATTTATTTTCTCTTACACTTTCACACGCAGTTACATATATACATATTCATATCACTTTGTTCTCCAGACTAATTCGTCACATTTTATTATTTAAACTATTTGGTAACTTGTACAGACTTTGTTGTCTGAAGAAATGATTTCCATGAAGTCATTCAAGGTCAGAAATTTATTACTTTTCTACTTTCTCATTGGAATTTTACAAAATACTATTTCATTTATACTTTCTGATAGTTGTTTATAAGAAGGCAATATCACCATTCATAAGTAAGGAAAGTAGATATAAAGTTGTATAATCATCATGTATATATATATATATATATGTATGTATGTATTCGTGAATAAATCTTCCAATATAATTTATTTTATAATTTGTTCTCATCTATTTATTTTATTTATTCTAGGTACATAGTTTAAGTCAAATGAATAGTCAACAATTATTACTATATGCTGTTGGACAAGAGAATCCTGCACTACCTGATTATCTGGATATATTTTATTCTAGGCCTGATTCATATAATTCAACTAGATTTTAGTCATTTACTTTCATTAAATTTTTGTATAAATTCAATAGATGATTTAATTATTTTCATTATTGTCTGAATATTATATTTTTCTAAAGTTGTATTAATTTCAATCATACATTGCCAAAAGTATTGTCTTGTATCATTTTATATTTCCTTCAATCTATTGTTTAAACTGAACAACCTTATCGAAATGAAAATATATATATTAGTCTTCATTTATATAATAAATCATTGAATACTGTCTTCATTATATAATTTTATCTCTTTTTACAAACTCTAGATGAATAATTCTTATGATTTTGTTGATGATAAGTTGATTGATAATATGTTTATTTGTTATTTATTTCTCCTCTTTCATCGATAGGGGGAAAAAAGACAACAAGAAAAAAATTAATTTTTACTTTTACATCTTTTTGACTAAAAGAGTTTTTACCTTTTTCTATCATATTTTATAAAATCAACTTCATTTATAATAGATTTAATTCAATATAAGTTGTACATTCTACTCATCTATTCTTTATAATAAAATATGTATACAATCAAAATTCTATTTATTTGTCTATATGAAATATAAAAATACCTACAAATGAATTTGTAAAAATCTTATTCTATTCTATAATACATCTTCTTTGTCAATTCTATGTCAATTAACTTCAAAATTATATTTTGTGTATTTGTTAAAAAAAAAAAATCTCTTTTTATTATTACTTAGTTTATAAGTCAATAATAACAATAACAGTAATAATAATAATAATGATAATAACACTTTTCAGATGTTGTACGTCTATTGATCAACTTAGTGTATAATACAAAGTAATTTAATCACCTTGAATGTATTTAAAATGAAATTTAAACAAAAATTTTTAAAAAAAAATAAATAAATAACAAGTATAAAACCCTTTCACATAGATGCTTTTACTTCTTAGATATTTTATTGTACAGAATATATTTATATATTAGAATTTCTTTACATATATGAATAATAAATATGTGTATGCAACAAGTAGAGATGATTGTATTTTGTAAATATTTACCTCATCTATAGACAATACTATGTATACATAATTATGCATAAATACATTAACTGTTGTTTTGTTTTTTGTTTTTTTTATGGTCAAATTTCATCGATTAAATGATTAACTTCTCTTTCTGTGTTAACTAGAAACTAAGTAAATAGTGAAATATTCTACTGGTGTAAGAAATGTCTTCAGAATAGTTATCAGTAATAATAATGAATTGATAGCATTGAGTGTTTAGTTCTGAATCTACTGTACACAGCTTTCCTTTCAAATTGTCACCTACATCATATAGAAATTGTAGTTGAACAAATTCTGGATTTAATGTTCAATTTAAAGAAATATAAAAATGTCTCAGAGATGAAAATCTCAAGGTAATGAACAGTAGGCAATTTTTTGAACCTTATTCCTGTCTTCTATCTCCTTTAACAACAAGAATGTAATGATGTGACGAGTTGTTAAGCTAAATGAATCTTTTTAAAGCATTATAAATAGTCCTTCATAAAAATTTATATATTTTATCCCAGGGAGTGTAATTCAGGTAATTTTGTTCCAAGTATATCATAAATTCATAAGTTAAAACTTCACATTTTCAGCATGATCTATGAAGGTTATTTCACGGAAAAAATCACCATCATCCAATCTATGTAAGTGAACAGATCTCAGTTTTGTGTTTTCGTAGTTGAGGATGTTAGATCACGGTAGTCTTAAAAATATCACCTTTCTCAAAATGAAACAACCGAAAATCTTGAATTTCTCTTTTGTTAAACATCACGTAAACATCATCGAATTCAATCGTAAGACACTATCACTTTTTCGATACAAGGTGATCATATTAGAATCGATGCCTATTATTTTGGTTCAGTTAACTAATTAGTTAGAAGTTAAAAGCAATGGTAACTAAGAAATGTGTGCTAAATGTTCATATACTCTCAGTAATTGGTAAAGAAATCAACTGAAATAAGTGAAAATTTTGCAAAGAATGTTAGCATGAGTGACGTTAATTCGTCAGTGCGCAGTTTCAAATATATTGTACTCATTGATATAGAAAAGTTATACATTAGGAGGTGACCAGAACCCTTAGGTAAATATTTATTCATCCACTATATCTTATCTCAGGTTTAAAAAAATATATCAGTAATATTCAGTCTGTGCACAATGTCACAGTCATTTTGTTCCTGATGACATGTTTAACAGGAACACATAAGTGTATATAAGCGTTAAGTCGTTCACTACTTATGCTAACGGTATAATTTACTTATGCATTAGCATAGTAAATGCAATAGTTGAGTTATCGCACAATATTAATTCAGTTTAAGCTTTCATATCATTCAACCTCAGAAGGAGAAACAGTTTTATATTAAGAGGACGAGAATGCGAAGTAGAAAAACATGTGTCAAAATTATAAACATCCAGGTTATATATGTAATGAAGTTGATCACCAAGTCAGATTTAATCATTATATAGCTTGGTTTTGATATAAAAATGTGCTAAAACATATGAGCGGTACTTTACTTTTTCTTTAACAAACAGGTTAATTCCATGGAATTCAGTTTTTAATTTCATTTTTATAAAGAGTTACACTTGACCATGGACTTTTCTAATCTGTAAAACAACAGAAATCCAAATAAGTCACTGGATAGATGATATATTAACGGTTGTTATCACTTATGAAGTGGACAAACGTTCAATTTACAATCATTGTTTCTCATCTATTGTTAGACTATAGTAAAATTTTCGATTCTTTACACAAACTGAAATTTTCTCCTCCTATAATCTTTTCTGCAATAACATGCATCTATTTGTGAACAAGCATTACAATTCTGACTAAAAAGAGAAGTGAAAACATATTAGTGAAGAGAATCTTGTTTTAGGGTAACACAGGAATTGAAGATGAATAGTGATATTCACGCAGCATTGCACTGCACTGAGATATACGTTATTTGGGTGAAGGCAATCAATACAAAGCCCTGGACCCAAGTTTCAGGCTTTTTGACCCATGTCATCAAGACGTATCTCCAACTTCGACGGAACTGTTGTCCTGCTTGAGTAGCTCAGTGGTAACATCTCTTACTCCAGAAATGGATAAAATGGGTTCGAATCTGAAGCCTTACTAGGGAGTTCTGAAAAGCACAAAACCTAGATGCAGGGTTTCTTACCGATTACTTTCATCCAACTAATGTCTATCTCAGCGCAGTGCGATGGTGAACCGCTTAGCCTGGTCGCCACATTATAAAATGATCAGAAGAATTCAATCACCATTTAAGATTAGATAGCACGAAGTTGATTACCTTCCAGTAACCAATCAATATAACAACTGAACCACTTAGTAAACCATAAATTATTACATAATCGAGAAAAGAGCATACTGAAAAATAATGAAGTTTTTCATTGATGCACTAAAAGTTATAGTTTAAAATATCGAAGAAAAGAATGATACCATTTTATATTAGGAGATAAATTTGTTCAGCCACGAGTTTCTTCTATTTATTGTACTAAGATATAGTCATTGAATAGTATACTCTATCAAAGTGAAGAAAGATATCAAATTGATCTCCGACATCAGGTACATCTAACGCATTCAATCAATTAATTTAGCATTCTTTTCTCTGATAACTAACTTAGCAATGAACAAATCCATTGGAATTACGTGATAACTCATTAATGTAGAGAAAGTTTTTATTATAGTCACATTCAAAGACATGCCTACACAACAAGTATACGTGCAAATGCTTTAAAATCATATACGTTTATTTACTCTTCTACGGAATTCCATGAACGTTGTGGATAGAATCGAATACAACACATGTGAGTTTTCAGTGTGGTGTTTAAATCAGACTCAATTCCCTGACAAACAAAGATGATTTGTGATCAACTTTGGAAATGTATAACATTTCCTTTGACCTTAATCATCGTCAAGGTGTCTCCGTAGATTAATTTTATAACCAAATCTTACAAATTACACTTACACATCAGCAACTGTTGTCTCTCATTCTATTGTTCATATCTATTCATGGCGATAAAGGAAGACCTGAGATGACCTGCTAATAAGGTAAATATTTAAGCTTCAGTTATCTTTCAAACAAATGACAATCCAACGTAACACTTGGCACTAGAATGAGTTAAAATCACTTTAGCGACTGGCCATTGTAAGTGACTGGTTCCCGCTCCTTATCAGATGCTGCTAGTGGAAAGCTTTTTTATATCTTTCGACTTTCTGTCGATTTTATCAATATCATACTCTACTTTCATACAAAACGCTTTCTCAGATGATAAGAGGAAGTAACATAAAGTTCTGATCAGTTCTGTTAGTTACTAAAGATTCTTGGCATATTTGATATGAAGTTATATTACCATATTGCTACAGTGTTGTGTCATCAACAAGAATGTTTTTCAGAACACATGATATATGGCAAAATTATAAGGCTTCACCATTTTTTGAAGAATACTTTTAGTAGTTTAGTTTCTGCGTGGACAAAGTGCTTATTATATGATATTTCTTTTCAAATTACAAAATATTTCAATATGTAGATGTGAACATATGTAACAGATTGGATAAATTTATCATGATATGAATACCAAAGTTGAACTAGTTCACGTTGGTTATAGAAAAATGAACTGTTTGTTCACTTCGAGTATCTGTACACTAACCTTATCTAGACAATTTCACCTTTTAATATTAAAGTATGATATAATTGAGGATAGAATAGCTACCTTACCTTTCAACAGGTAACATTGAACACACTTGTCAAAGTAACATTTATTCCGTGGAATTGATTTCTGTAGTTTGAATCTTCTATGATCTTTATTATATTCTTAGATTTACATAGCACTATTTTACGTGATTATAGGAGAGAGCATAGAATGGCAGTCAACTCCTACTTTACCTCAACTTCATCGATTTTGAAAGGGCCTTCGACAGCGTCGACCAAAAAGTTATTTAGCAGACAGCTGCTCCAACACCACGGTCTTAGTGCCACATACCCTTATCAACCTCATTCAACAGCTATATGCTATATGATGCTACATTCGAAGTGATTCACACTGCAAAACTCAGTGATGCCTTTGAAGTGAAGACACGTTGACAGGTAAGACAAGGTTGCTGCCTACTATCACCGATCATCTTCCTGATTGTGGTAGACTTGATTCGACTTGACTTGACTGGACTGGAATCGATCATACAAAAAACGGTGAGAAGGTGTGAGAAGATGGTCATACGCTGTTTGACCAACAAGAAGACCCTAGAAGAAGATTTGGATTTCGCCGATGATGATTTGTGTCTAGCGTCTAATGTTGTACAAAGTTGAAGATGTACAGGCAAAAACTACCAAGTTGACAGAGGAGGTGACGCGAGGCAGAAAGAGGGGACTTTCTTTGGGTGAACACAGAGAATACAGAGATGATGAAGATACCGAAACAACCAACAACAACAACAATAAGTACCAATCATCATCAACGAGAGAAATCTAAACGAAGTTGTCTCTGTGACCTGGCTACCTAGACAACATTGTTTCAACAACAGGCGACACAGGCACAGATGAGAATGTCAAAGCCAGCCAGGATCGGAAACACAGCAAGACAGATTTCCTGCATATTTATCTGAAATCGGTGTGGAGATCTACTGCACTCAGCATAAAAAACAAGATCTGGATTTTCAACACTAACTCAGTCAGGTCAGTGCTTCTACATGGTTCAGAAACTTGGCGCGTCATGGTAAGCATTTCCGACAAACCAGAAACAAACATCAACAGCTGTCGCCTAGGCTCACTCCATACTGAAGATTAGATGGCCGGAAACAATAAGCAAGGAGGAACTCTGACTGTCTGACAACGAACCAACCAACGTAGAAGCTATCACCCAACAGATATGCAGAAGAAAGTGGAAACGGATTGGATTAGGCATATATTGAGAAGGCCATTTTGGGACATTAAGTGTCAAGCCAGGCCCTAGAGTGGAATCTAAAGGGGAAACGACGAGTTGGGCATCCAAGGGTAATGTGAAGGAGATCATTTGAGGAAGAAATGAAAGTTTGTGGGCAGTGGTGGAGCCAGGTTAAAAGAGAAGACTGGAGAGCAGAAAGTGAAATGCAGACGTGCTATTGAAGCCGTGTGTTCCACTAGGAACCTATGGGACAAAATATAGTAATGACTTTAAGTGGTTTGATCTGCTTGACACTAGACAGTATTTAGCTTTTATAGTACTAACTATTTCTTTCAAAATACATATATAGGACTATCAGTTCGTCTCTTTGCTTTTTTATCATCTTCCTGGTGAAAATTGCTCCTTCAAGGTTATAAAGAGACAGGTTTTGATGTACTTTAAACGTTTACACGCCACCGTAGTGTTTCTTCTCAGTTGGTATGAAGATGTCATACAAGACGAGATCATCAATTTGCGAACGATCTGAGCACCGCACGCTGCACGTTCACAGTTCTGACAGCTGGGTAGTTTTTCATTTGCTCAACCGTGGTTTCAAAAGGGTTTCCTTTAAATCTTGGTTGATCTGTGATCTTGGTTGTGAGATTCCCATCAGAAACTTTGTTGATACCACAGTTGAGCAGTTGAAAAACTGTTCAACTATGAGAAATGTCAACGTGGACCGTACAATTTGTTGGGCATTTGGAAACTTATCATGCTGTTTAAGGTATACCAGTTCATATAAGTCAGCTGGACAGATTCAAGTGATGTTAACTAACTCGGATCTTTGAGCTAGATTCTTCCAGGTATATCACTGATCAACTCTGGTCCAAACCAGTGGAACGTCTGTTCAGTGTTAAGATCATTCTGATCATGCTAGCGAAATGTATAGACCAGCCTGAAAGGTTTCTAACTACTCAAGTTGTTCAGTAGTATATTTCACCAGAAAAGACAGTTTCGATTATTGGCTATAATTAGTATTTTCTATGGATAAACAATTCTTCAAGTAATCATTTCCTTTCTTGCTAATTTATTCCTTGAAAGAAAATCTCTTACAAGTCACCCGGTTAGTACACATAGATGAGGTTTATACTCCTAATTTGTAGTAAGCGTATCTACCACTCTAAAAAAAATCTTTATGTATAAATTCCATTTGTGTTAGCTTTATTGACTGACACCTTACTATGATGGTCATATTCTGAACTTCAAAGATGATGCATCGTCGTAGCACTACTTGTTATGTACTCTGGAAATATTTTCTTTCTATTTATTACTTAACCATAAAGTTATTATATTTTGTAAATTTATAATTTGTTAGTTATGAAATCAGCATAGGTTACATATTGATTTTGTGTTAAAGTAATCTTTATTCCAATAACACTTCTGTCAATTAAATATTCTAGTACTGTCTATAATACACATTAAGATTTGATTCTGAATAATAAGTACACATTGCTTTCTGTAACCATCTCAGGAGGCTAATTTTCAAAGAAACGCTATATTGATTTGGATGAGTTTGGTTCCTATAGATTTTGTATGCAGATGTTAATAACTTTTAGAATTAATCATGAAGACAGCTAATTCAACTACTAAATACTATAGTCAATAATCAGTATTATTCCAACTTGAAAAAGACTACTAAAAATATATGAGTAGTATAACAAACACCGCTGAGATAGTGTATTGAAACGTAATATTCATTGAAACTTATTAAGGAATTGATCTGTTAACGCTTGATATTATTCTTTACTCTATCAGTAAGTCAGTGTGGTACTAATAAATAATTTGGAAAAGAGTTTAGGCATAAGCCTACTTTCAATTAGAAATTGCATACCGAAAGAAAATAAAGGAGAGTAGGTTATAAATATGTAATTATACTACACAATCTGTTAGAGAGAGGTCGCCTAAATTCTCAGTAGGAATCGACAGATTTTCACTCTACATACATAAGTTTGTATACTATTATGCAGTGAATGAATACATTCACACATAATCGAGAAACAAATATGGTAAGAGGAAATGAATAATTTACCAAGGTTAAACAGAACTATGAATGAGTTATGGAAAAGTGGTAACCAATTGATAATAAAAAATAAAAAGACGGAATGGATTACATCATTTTGAACAGATTTATTGGTCAACACTGCATTTCAGTGTCCAACTAAGTGTCAACAAAACAAAAATATATTTATTATAATGATTATAGTAATGAGTAATCATAGTAATAATAAAAAGATTAAAGATGAAAAGTTAAAAATATTGAAACTGCTAAAACTTACATCATCTTAAACGAGATATATGAATATCAACTAAGAAGTCTGATAGTAGTGTAAAACTGGAGAAGGCTAGATTATAAGAAGGAGTAAAAGGAAAGCAAAGAAATAACATTGCAATAGAATAACAATAATGAAAAGGTAATACCGTAAGCAAATGAAGAAATATGATGGAAAAACAAATCACTAATGTAGACAAATATGTTCACGATATATCGGATCCACTATCATGAAAGATTCACGGTGATTATCATCTCTTTCTGCAGTCATAGGCTTGGTTTATGAACTCTGGTCTTACATGATTCCATGAATGCAAGCGTCTTAACATACGAATATGTTATAGATATTATGACATATAGTGACAGAACTCCCATCCAGATTGTCAAAGCATCAAATGTCAATTGAAATTTGGAATAGCTGAATTTTATGTGGTATTTGAAGTAGATGGCGGTGATCAGTAAAACCTGAAATCCCAATAAACCAATCAGTCAATTAGTTAGATACACATGTGTATTAAAATCTATAATAACTGTGAATGAAAACTAGAACACTGAACTACACATTGAACTCTGGACTTTGATATCACCAACACTTCTGAGAAATAACTTGTTCGCAGTACAATTTGAAGGAATCTAGAAATAATCGCTAAGTATAAGCTTTTTCATATCATCAAACTTCATATTTCCACTGAGTGTATTTGTCGGCAGAAACGAAATTACATGCCAGTGTTGATTTCTGTATTTTATAGGAAGCTTTTGGCATCTACTGGTTTCTGTATGAGAATATATGTACCACAACTGCATTACAAGGTTAATATGTCTTATGGAAACCATATCTGTATTGTAGAAGTTAATAAGTTGAATTTTTCTGTGCCCAGTCTTCACTACTTTGAGCTTTCATGACAGAAGACAATCATGATAACAGAATCCTAATTGACACATTACCATGAATTGTGTAGAATGCAGTTTATTAAGGTTAACCTGGTGTTCCACATGTAGTTGCTTGCATTTGCTCTGAAATGCGATGAAATCCGTTATTCACTACCGGTGATTCTCTGAATATCATGTGCATGACACACATGACTATTTCTAGAAGGAAGTGAAACAATGGCTTTCACAAGTAACTGCATCCACCTATGACGTTAACTAGTATCGAATGGAGACATTTGTGTTTCATGATAACACAAGTAGTCTATTAAAGATAAGCATTTGCAAGACAGAACATATCTTTCGTAAACTGTTTTCAACAGCAATCTTAATGACAATCTATCTATTCAAGCATATTTCAAATGGCACCAAGTTGAGAAAGGCAATCTATCTTGTATATCGTGAGTTTGTGTTGTTCAGAATTTTGAGATGAATATTTTACGACATACTGATATATCAGAAACTTACAATGACAACAGTGAGGATCCAACAGAAACATGCGGTGGCACCCAAGTAATCCTACAAAAGCAAAACAGAGTCAAATCAGAATTTCACTGTTACACTTCAAAGTGATAATCTCAAATAAATTTGTGTTCACACACAATGAAAACAGCTAGTTGACTGTGAAATTAATTCCAGTCATTTCTGCATCTTCCTAATGTTCAGTGTGCTGTTATTTCACCCTTTGATCCACCAATATACTCACTGGTCTCCAAAACTGTCCCATATCATCCTATGGATTTCCCTCCGAATCATTCCCCTGCCATTGGTTTCGTGAAATAATCCAACCTGACAATGTCAGAGGATAAATGCTAAGATACACTATAGTATTGAAGTTCACTTTCTCTTCTACTGTCAGCTAGGTATTATGAGCTAGATACTGTCATAAAATCAAATACTTCATTTCAAAGAATCACTGAAAACTACTGAATTTCCAATTTTTGAAGGACATTGAACCAAGTGTAGTGATCTTTTGAGTACAGACATTACATGGTGTTTTATGTGTATTAGTGTTGTAGATAAAGTAAAACATTGTCCTGGAAAGCCTTCGTGCTACTAGATGTTAGCAGAGAAGTCTTTATGTCCCGTTTCGGTTAATATTATCAATGATGAAATAAAAGATTAATTTAGCTAACAGAATTACTAAATCCGTGATTCTGCGTCCGTGGATGCCTGTATAGTTGGTTGGGTGATCAGAGCAAATACTGACTACTAAATGCATGTTCACGTTTGCATATTCATCTATGGGATAATTTTAGCCACCCCAAATGATCAAGATTTCCCTCGTATGCTAGGCATTTTCTCATTTAGCTAACCAAGCATGTAATCTGTACAAAAGGAATCTGCTTGCCACATAGTGCTTCTTTAGCAGAGATAACACTTCGGGAGATTTGCGGAGTGGATGCTAGTGAACCAATGACTGACACCAAAGTTGCACAAAAAATAAAAACATATTGGACACGACAAATGCCAACGTGGACAGTGTAGTTTTTAAATGATTTGCGCATTACTGTTGTCAATTCAGATGGAATTTCGCACAGTTAGTGACTCACTGGAAGATTTTATGACTTCTACTCACCTTCACTTTCCCGTCACTGCGAAGACACATTTCTTCAAATTCTTTTCCATCAAGGTGTTTATCGTCAACAGTGAAGATATACGCATATCTTCCGCTGTTCAACACTTGTGTACTGTTGCCTGGCTGATTAGTCGATTCGAATATAAAATAAAAATAAAAGAAGACCAGTTACCACGGCTAATGCAATGAAATGCAGAACAACTCCTAATAACACGAATATGCATTCCAATGAGCCAAATACCAAGATTCCTTTTCTGTTGGGCCTCGTCAAATTGAAACCGATTACTGTCACTATGAATGCAATGAAAGCTGTCAAACCAACAGAAATGAGGGCAGATGTAGTGTCATGTTGAAGATATGAACACGCGGTAGCCACAGTAGTGAAGATAGCCTAGCGGAAAAGAAAGTATTACGAGCAGCGATGTAATGTCGAATAAATATCCAATGAAAGAAACAACTGTTACACTACACAAGTGATGATCATATCATGAAGAAGTATATTTTAGAGACATATTCAGGTGAATCATTCCAACATAATCGACATTCAGAACTCTCCATCACTGAGGTCACTACTATCTACATACCTTTGGAAATGGCTGTTGGAATTCACTAAATCTATATTGTTCCTGCCTCACGATTACAGTGTTTCCCTTGAAACAACATCAGAAGATTAGTGGGAATATCCTCTTCATGTATTCCGACTCATGCCAACGGAGGTTATCTATTCATCCGTTAGGTTCCTTTGAATCAGGTTCGTTTATTTAAAGTCAATGGGATGTGTGGATGTGAATAATGATTTACTCTTCTTATGCGCTACGCATGTTCATGTGTAGGTTGTTTGATTTAATAATGCAGCCTCACTCATCACTGGGATACTTCCATAACTGAGCGTATTCTCTTTGAATTCGTTTATAAAACAGCTCACAAAATTGACAAGATTGAAGAATAAGATACAGGTAAATTGGGTGATGAGCTACATGAATAAGTCTCCCTCTCTCTCTCTTGTTCAATGTTCACTGAATTTTGTACCGCCTGGTCAGCATATCACTTCTTTGAACTTATGATCAGTAGGTCGTAAACACCTTTCTTTTGCAATGTAGGGGGTAAATGATAATTCTGTACCAGAAAACAAGTAATATCACATTCTGAAGAATTTCATATTCCTTCAAATTTATTCATTAGGAAGTTGTAAAAATGAACCATTGTCTCAACAATAAGCATTAAGGAGTCACTAATTATTATTTCTGTGAAACTTCATGTTTTTGTTATTCATACTTTCAGGGAAAAGTCTTTCACATGGCAATGAATGCTCGCATACACTGCCATGGATTAGGTTAAATGGTGTATCATCGAGAAACATATTAATGGATAGGAAAACGAATGACTCACTATTATCACAATCAGAATGTAGTTGAGTGGGTACATTGACCTCACCTTCTGACTCAGTAGCAACAAGGAATAGATAATACTAGCGCATACTCTGAAATGAAGAGGAATCCTTCAATTATTGCATTGTTAAAATGGCTTACTGTGTGAAATCCACAAGAAACAACAATATCTTAGATTCCATTAAATTAATAGTCGAAGATTAGTTGGGAAAATAATCACTATTTGACATGTGAATACGAAGATTTTAGGGGGAATTCTAGGTGCTACCAACATGTATAGTGGCACCAAAACAAACTTGGTTATTAGATTATCAGAGCAACAAGAATTGAAAACCAATTCATATTATCAACTCACGTTAACACTATGGATATGATAACGCATATCTTTTTCACATCTTCACTCCTAAATGAAAAACAATCGAGTCAATAATAAAAAACAGTGATTTACGGGGAAGTCGTTGAGGTATTATGGGTGGTAGTAGAAGGAGACATGAAATACTCAATAACCAGTGATTTTCCCATGATAATATCGATTATCTGTCTGATGATCAGCTATGGCAAGTTTGTCATCAGCAGTTGACTGGCTAAATTAACTAGACACTTCGAATCAGATAACACATTCACCTACATAAATTACGTTTCTTTGAGGTATGACTTGGAATTCTCAGGTGAAAATTAGATGGCAAAGTATTTTTCAATTGTTGTTGCTATTCGGTTTCACAGTTGACTTGAAAATTTTGTTGCTTCACAATGTACACCTATAGAGACAATGAATTGAATTAATGGGAAGAATTTCATCTACAAATTGTAGTTTCTGGTAAGATGTGAATACCACAAAACTGAACTTCAATATGATGTGTACTTGTAATTAGGATTAATATGGGCGTAAATTTCTTTGATTTTGCGATGAAAATGAAGAATAATTTGTGTGAAATGCATAAATGATTGAAGATAGAGTTGAGACAGTAACAATTAGCTTCTACCTAATTCACTGATGCAAGACCTTTGATAACGAAATGCATCGTAAATTGTAATTAGTGGGGCGTATGATGAGACTGTATGTCATGCTATCGAAATGCTAATGGAACAACAATTAACTGAAAGCACATCAGTTAATCGCCTTATACACACACTATGCATATGCTCAGTATCAAATGAAAGTTGTCATCATTTCAAAGTGGAGTAAAGAACTGTAAAGCGGTGACTAAAGTATTTGCCACATAGTTACGAAGCTATTTCAGGACGTTGTGGCAATCAATAATAATAGACAATGTAGTCACTGATAACAGGCCCATGTAAACAGCGAATGTTTGGAAGGCAATTATTATTTATTCGATTTCAACCAGTAGTTGATCTACGCCAAGATGGAAAACATCTATCAGTCACCTAACGAGTACATCACCTTCTGAGGTTCACATTTGAAATCACTGGGAGATAATGACGAAAAAAGCTGCTCAAAATGTTTCCATTGATATTCATGATTCATTTGAAATATTTTGACTTTGAAATGTAGACCTATGAGAAGAATGAATAATGTGAATGTGAATGACATGAATTTCAGTTGTCTTTCACAACTTCTGTATACGATGTGACCAAGTTATAAGTCAGCCTGTGAAGGATGACATTGTAAGCACGATATGTGGTTTTACAGGAGTAAAAATATCTCACAGTCTGAGACTGAATAAATATCGATTTGCAAAAAAACCATAGGTAGACAAAGAACACTAGTGAATCAGGAACATGCTTCTAAGGTATATTCCCAGGTTTGAGAATGGAATGGATGAATAGAAGATGAGAATAGTGATAACGCGAAGATGTAATTATTCATTGAGTAATCAGTTCCTAGTTTCGAGAAATGTTTTCCATCTAATCAGTTTTCTTCACAAATAATATGTCCTGAATCTAACCAGCCATTGTCAGATACGCAGTACTGAGCTGTGTTTTATTTTCGGAATGACATCACAACAGCTCTCATTGGTAAGAATATGTAGCATTGAGACTGTGACTTGCTCAAAATACATTCCTGTGAGGGTACACATTAGAATGGGTTCTCCAGACTCGTTCAAAGTAGTTCAACAGTCATAGACAGAGGTCACGTTTTCCTCACATGAAACTTCAATCTGCGTTTCCATTTACCGTCGTCGCCTCAGGATGCATACAGATGCACAAAGATTGCACATGCTGGTTTTTTTATTTCGACCTTGGTGTAAAAGAGAAGCGAGAACTGATGGCGAAGAATCGGGAGACAATAGATGTGATATATTGGGACGTGAACAAGTACTTATCGAATTAACTTAATATCTGTTCATTAATGATGCATTTTAATTTGAAGTGACTGAAGTAAGAAACCAGCTACTGCATTCTCCAACAGTGATACACATGCTTCACGGTTGAACGTGTACTCTTTATAAACTCCACTAGTTCACAACCAATTACTTAAGACATTTTATGTATGACCACGTGCACGAAGTGTTCTGAGCTAACTGTCACCAAGATTTTAGTGTGAGAAATCGATATTAATTTCACACTCCACACCTGAACTCATCAAATCGCCAGATCGCTTCAGTCAATATATCCAATGTTAATTCTCACACAGATTAAATATAGACATGAAATAGCTCACCTTTTGTCAATTCAATAAAATAGTAGATAATGAAATGTTTGCTGAAACTGAGTTATATCTTTTATGGCGGTGTTATATACATAACTTGAGTTCATCAATGTTGTCGATGTACTTTGAACCCATAAGGCTTGAAACGTATGATTAATAGTATGCGTCTTTGTTCTTTTACTATGACAAATGTTTGCTGAATTCCAATTGTTATGTATACGAATGATGAAATTATTCGATAGTTCACATCTGAAAAAACAACTCATTCTTCAGAATTTAACTGTTTATCTTGAGTATATTGAAGGAATGTAATTCCACACACAACAGAACAGAGTGATGAAGTATTATTCACTGACATGCATACAATACTTCAAAATTAACCTTACTTTACCTTGTTACAAACATGATGATTTGACATATACCATTCACAATTTCTGACCTGATACCAGCCGTCTAGTCAGAAAGCTTTTCTAAATGAATAAGGAGGCAGGTTATACGCATAGACTGTTAGTCACCACAATGCAGCTTTCACGAGGGTTTTTGAAAATGTCACCCGAAACGGCTTAGGTTAGAAAAAAGCACTTAAATTTGTAAAGAAGATGAGGTACATAACTGTAGTGCTGATCAAACTAACGCATGCGTTTGTAAACGTAAACCCAAACTCAGACAATGAATGTAAATTCTAATCGATGTTGAACACAATTCATTACCTAATACTGTCAGATACGCTTTTTGTCTACCACACAGTCATCTAGAGGCAATGGATATCAGCCGAATGATGGATGTACAACATAGTTCTCTTCTTTCATAAATCGGAATAATTCATAAAAACTATTTGCGTAAGATAACAGGATATCATATGCTTTGAAGATTTCGCTCACCACCTTGCGGAGCACTACTCACAGGAAACCAATTTTTTGATCTATCTACATTGACAGCAGATAGCCAAAAATATATTCCTACTTAGTGAACAGATTATCTGAGAAACATGCATGGTGTGAATAGTGCTAAAACAACTTTACGAAACAGAAAATAAATATGGTTTTCTACCACAGCATTACTAGCAGGTTAACATTAGAAGAAGTGAAGAGAAGAGGAGACGGCTTTTCGTATGGCTGTGTAACGGCTACCTAAATTATCATCACTTAATTAACTTAATCTCAACTCAATGAATGTCAGTATTATCGACATGATTGTTTATTTCCTTGTTTCCGGATGTGATACACCTGCCCTGAAGATGGAAGCTGTTGACAGTCATCACATTCTGTACTCAAGAACACTCTTTGAATCTCCAGAGAATCAACTGATCACACACCAAACCAATGACAGTTGTCACATAAGGGCTTCTTCATTTTCATTATGTAATCATCATGTAATCATGTAATCACCATGTAATATAAAGTACTTGTGAACAATGTGACTGTAGCTCGGATGATGAATGTGGACACATTTCACATTTAATATGTTGCATCTGTCAGATTTCTGAGTTTTACTCAAAGAGAATGTGACGTTTTTGAGTTTATCCATCTCAAACTCTCTTCGATTCACGCGAACGCCACTCATGCTCCAATCACAGCATAAATTCCACTTCTCATGCGACATTCATAACTAGCTGTGTTTCAGTGAATTTGATGAGCATCTTTTACCTATTCCAGGCGTATTTCCAACCAATGAATATGGGATGCATACACTCGCTGTATACAACAAACCTACACGATTTTTCCCTAACCTTGTATGGGAAGACCATATTCTCAAAAGTGGACCTAGTTCGCGCATACCATCTAATACCTGTCGCACCGGAGGACATCGGAAAAACGGCGATAATAACTCCTTTCGGACTGTTTGAGTTTCTCCGGATGCCATTTGGACTCAAAAAAACAGCGCAATCGTTCTAACGATTCATGGATCAGGCTACGCAAGGTTTCGATTTCGTTTTTGTCGATAGAGATGACGTCCTGATACCAAGTGCTTTCCAGGAAAAACACTTCCAACACTTTGCCACTTTGTTCGAACGTTTTCAGCAATGCTGGGTAGTTATTAATCCAACTAGGTGCATCTTCGGGGTACCTTCGTTAGAGTTTTTGGGAAATTACATAGATGCCCAAGGTATAAAACCTCTTTACGACAAAACTGATGCCCGCTTGCAGTACACCGAACCCGATTCAACAAGAAAACTCCGACGTTCCTTTGGTATGTTCAACTTCTACCGACGTTCCATCACACACTGTGCCTCGATTCTCCAGCCTCTGACAGATCTGCTTAAGGGCAACCAAAAGATTTTCCGTTTCACCAATGAAGCACGCCAAACTTTCCACAACGCCAAAAAAGCAGTATCACAGATAGCCATGCTTTCGCAATTGAATCCTAACCCAGAAGCTCGCTTGATCCTCGGCACAGATGCTTCACGATCTGCAGCTGGAGCAGTCCTACAACAAAAGCTTGACGATAAGATACTTCCGCTTGCTTTCTTTCCGAAGAAGCTGGAGCCAAACCAAACAAGATACCGTATCTTCGGAAGGGAACTCCTATCCATCTACCTCACTGTCAAGCACTTTAATCATCTGTTACGAGGTCGCAACTTCACTATCCTCACCGACCACAAACCATTGTGCAATGCGTTCCTAACACCATTCGATAGGCATTCGCCAAGAGAAGCAAGACAACTGGACTATATCTTGCAGTTTTCTACGGATTTCCAGTTCGTCAAGGGTGACGCTAACTTTGTCGCCAATTCCATGTCTCGCACTGACGTGAACCTTCTAACACGACAACCGGATATCGAGCTCGAAAATATGGCAACATTACAGAAAAACGACCCTGATCTCCTGGCTAACCAAATGAATTCAGCCCTTGTTTACAAAGACGTCGCAATACCCCTATCGGACGCTACCATTGTGTGTCATGCAACTAC